CAGTTACAGCTTTTTTCCATAATTTTCAACAGAATATCTGTAAAAAAAAGCTGTAGATAACTACATAATCGACTTTATTTCGACTATGAATATGCTTCACAATTAGTACGAAAAAGACGACGCTTAGCCAAAAGACGAACAATATGCATTGAAAACTGAGGAAACCACATATCGATATTTCCGCTGCAAAGAACGCTCTCATCGCAATCATGATCCAACTACACAAGATCTGACAAAATCAGTGGTGCACAGCGTCGACAGAGCTACCAATACCAGAGCAAGACTTTTGCCTTAAGCCCAAAATACAATAACGCTGTGGCAGTGGCAGTGGCAGTTTTTCGAAATCAGCTGTTTTTTAGAAAGTGTGGTGTCCAATGAAGCGACTCACAATACAGCAGTGGCAGCTGGCAGTACTGCTCAGTTTAGCCCAATTTCTAAATTCACTGCCGCTGCTTTCATCGCAGCAAACTTCGCATGCTGAATTTGACATAAATAAAATGCAGCCAACTTCTGCCTAAAAGACAACAACAAAAATGTAAACAAAAAAAAGGGAATGTCAAAAAAAGCTGCCACTGACAGCGCCGTATTGTATTTTCTGCGGCAGTGACTGCCAATATTAGCAGTAACAGCTGATTTTATAAACTGTCACTGCCACTGCCACTGCGCTATTGTATTTTGGCCTTTAGTATGCGTACATTATCAAACGCAAACTTATTCGCTGCTGGCGTCACAACAGTTCGTTAGCTGCGCACACACGACTTGTATGTGCAAGCCGAGTAGCTCCCGGAGACGAGATGAAGCAAAACAAAAAAGCAATTTTCTGGCTGACGTTTGTAATTTCGGCGCCATGTTATTTTATTTGAAAAGTTAACAAAGAATATGAAGACGAAGTATAAAAAAATGCAAGCAATTTTGTAGCACATGTTTGTGCTAACCAATTTGTTATTTTTGTACGTGTTTTTGCAAAAAATTACCGCGCACTTCATTTTAATTACATTTGCTAAACAAAAAATTATTGAAAATCGCTTAAAAATCACTGAAATAAACCACCGACCAAATACACATAAAGAAAAAGCAAACTTAAAAATTACGATCGTCTATAACGAGTTGTCCCTTCTTGTTATCTACGTTCTTTGACAAAACTGCATACCCAAAAAGTTTCTAAAAATTCTGCATTTTCGTGAACTTTGCATAAAGTTTTATGGCCTTATTCATAAAAAATAAAAAAGGATTATAAACTGAAAAATGTATGAAAATGTCATTTCATTAAACTCTTTAAACCTACTTTATTTTTGTATGAATAAGGCCATTTAACTTTAACTTCGTTGGTTTATGTTATGCAACAGACTACACACAATTTCAGTTTATTTTAAGTGATGGACAAAATTGAATGATAGTAATCCATAGAAGCAAAGAAAATTAAAAAATGTGTTTTTTAATAAGTATTCGATACTACGAGTACTTTGCAAAGTATCGAGTAAAATCACCAAATAAGGTATCGAGCATTAAAGTACTCACTTCGAACCCTATTCACATTTCCATACACCCCCTTTGTGAAAATAGGCGCGTAAAGTGACTGTTTGACAGTTTTTGTTTCTTATACCATGTTCTGACCGACAACGAAAACACTTTGAGAACGTGTTTTGGGAGTGTGGGCTGAGGGCTGTTCACACCGGCTACTAGGTGTTTTCGTTGACATTTCTTACATCCTCTTTTGCTACACAAAAACAAAACCAAAATGCTTTTCCCTCATTTTCTTTTCATTAGCAACCTCTTACTTTCATTCTTATTTTACTTTTGCCAGCCAATTAACAATAAATCCGAAATGGCGTATTAAAGATGATAAAATATGACTTCCACTTCGATAAATAATCGAAAAAAACTAGTGAAGACACCGATTGGAATGAGTGGAACGTGAGTTTTCAAGTAGTTTTCAGCGAAAACTGGTTTTCGTTTGACAGATTTTACATGGACGAAAACACAAGTTTTAAGTCGAAAACCAGTTTTAGCAACGAAAACATGTTTTCGATGTCGGTCAGAACATGGTATTAGATTTTCCATAACATGCCGCCATCTTGCCTCTATGACTCTTGGCTAAAACACAGAAAAAAAAGTCGAAAATTAGCAGAAAACCATGTCAATACAGTTAGTGGATGAAATTCATTCATTTCGTTCGCGTGTTATTTTTTTCCATTGAAGTTTACGAGGTCGTTTGCGCACCAAATTTGCCTCGTAAATTTACGAGGGGCTCATAAATAGAGCCACATACAAATTTTGACAGTTCTTTTACGAGGCTCGTAAATTTACGAGCTTTACGAGGTTTACGAGGCTGTTACGAGTTTAAGGGGAAGACCCATACCTTGTGTCTCATTCAATTTTTCATTGAAACCGATTTCATCAAAAATTATTGTTTCGAAATAATGATGACATTTTTTGGATACGAAAAATGAATAAAAATGGAATCGTTTTCTGCTAAACGTACCCAGATACAAAACATGTCCGAAAACTGTACTGTCGGCTAAAAGTACGTTTCTCTGTTGACTGGGATGTGCATATATCTCAGAAAACTTTTCAAGAACGCCCTACTTCAGAATTTGATTGAAAAACGTCCTATTTCAGAATTTTATTTAAAAACATCCTATCTCAAACGAAAATACATTGAAAATAAGCCGAGATAAGGCGTTCTTCAACCAAATTCTGAGATAAAGCTATTTTCAATCAAATTCTGAAGTAGGGCGTTTTTGAAAAGTTTTCTGTGACCGAGCGTTGTTGAAAAATTTTCTGAGATAGGACGTTTTCGAACTGGCTGCTGAGATAGGTCGATCTTCCACTCAGCCATCGATATGTGATTGAACGCACAAGTATTTCAATAATTTTTGTTTTTCAACGACTTTCAGTTTTCGGTTTTTTCTTGCTAAAAATTACTTGTTTTTATGTACTTGCCCTAACCACTATTACTTCATACACTTACACATTTTTTTAC